AGACCTGCTACCCCGCGGTCATACGGGGTGGGGGGTGGACGTGTTGCCCACCGAGAGTGGGTCTCTTTGGGAGGGGGTGCCGCAGCCCACAGCGCCTTCTCCGCTACAGGAAGGGGCCTCTCGACTTGGCAGAGGCCACGCCGGGCCTGTCTGTACCTCCCTCCCCCTGGGGAGGCTTGAGGCTGCCCAAACTGGGGGCGCCTGGGGAGGGTGGTTTGCTGGCAGAGGTTGCTGCATGAGCGTGAGGTTGGTTTTTGCAGTCGTCTTTCATAAATCTCCTGAGAAGAGCTCGGGGTCGTTGCTGGAAACCACTCCTGTAGGTCAACGCTAGTCTCACTAGCCTTGATGCATGAATCACTGGACGAAGCTGTGTTAAGTAGGTCAGACTGGGTGAAACAAGTTCTTCCCTTGATGAGTGGCTGGCATATGTTTGAGGCATTGCTGCAGGTAGGCATAGCTTTACTCCTTGGATTTTGCAAGTTTTTAGACAAAGCACTTGCTTGTCTATCCAGCAAGGCTTCTGGAAATCCAAGTTGTTGTAATTCTCACTGTGTGGGATGGTGTGTCAGATGCGAAGCGTATCTGTCTCATCTTGGAGCTCACCCGTGTATGCAAGCAGGCTGCTCCTGGAAAGCTCCCGCCGCACTTCAGATGTGCAGCTGGTAATGGCGCCTGGCAGAGGACAGAAAATAATGGAATTTAAGTGTCGTATGTGAAGATAGGTGCACAAGACCATGAAAACCAGAGGCAGTGGGACAGCAAGTGGCTTTGTTGGGCAGTGTTCATTGTTTTAGGGAGGGGTAGGAAGTACTTGTGTGAATAGATATGGGGCAGCAGTAGCAGGTTCAATGTAGTAGTGCTTTCTGTTTAACCAGACGGTTCAACAGACACAGTGTAGTGTTATGCTGCCCAGACTGCTTGTAGTTTAAGCAGGGAGCAGCAGGAGGGCAGCTTATGGCGTGGGATCCTGGAGCTGCCTGCCCTGTCTGGGGTGAGGAGAATTGCCAAAGCCCTTCAGATTTCCTGGGTTCCCCTTGCAGCCCTGACTGTTCAGTTCAGTCCAGCCCAGCCAGGTGAGGAGCAGGACAGTTTTCGCCTGTCCTTGCAAGGGCCAGCCAGGGGTCCAGCTCCACGTGCCTGAATCGGCTTAGCAAAAGGCAGAGCTTGTGATGAGTGTATGTAGGCAGGACGGTTCAAGAGCAATTTAGGAACAAGATCTTGCATTTGATCGCTCTTTGCCTCCCAGACACTTCAGCCCATTCTGCATCACCTATTTGACTCTACAGAAGATCCATTGCAGGCAAAGCTTTGAGAATAAATAACTTGCATAGGCTGCTGATAGTGCTGCTATTCAATATGCCTCTCTGAGATGCAGGAGCAGAGAAGATACGTTTTCATCTGCATTATCTGGAGGAAGGAGAGTGCGGTAAAGAATGGAGCATCCCCACCACAACAGGGCATGACCCGAAGTTAGTGGGAGGAGAGGGGAAAGCCTGAATTTCCCATACGTGGACATTTCCCAGATGACCTCAGTGCATGTGTATTACTTTGATGCAAGCCCGGGGAGTTCTGGATTTCGAAAAGGTTGTATCTTCTTGATAGGTTTCCTAGCTGTGGTGTATTTGTGCTGCGTTTCCAGATGTCTAATAGCTGTTAATGGAAACGCCAGTCTTGCTGTGAACCAACACTTCAGCACTGCCGCCTTTCATCATGAACAGACCCGAAACCCACAGTCCTGGAGCGACCTCCCAAAGTCTATCCAGAGACACTGTCAAGAGGGGAGGAGAGAAAAGCAGAGGTGGTTTCTGGGGTTGGGGGGTGGCACTGGCCTCCCACCCCGCTTGGTGAAGCACTCCCCACTTGGGTGCTACAGAGGAGGTGTCTGGCCCCCTGCCCATCTGCAACATCATCAGCTCAGGTGCTCTCAGCTTCATCGGTCCTGATTCCCCCAGTCCCCCTTGGCCAAGGCGGGTCTCTGTCCTCATGCAGATCTGGTTGCCCCTCCTGAGTGCTTCTGTATTGATGTGGTGCTCAGGAGGGAATTGGTCGCTTACAGTCCTGGGCGCAGAAAGTGCCCCCTCGGCTGAATCCTCTTCTCTGGCCTCTCTCCACTGCCCGGTTACGGAACTACAGTCCCTCTTACTCAAGCACAGCTCACACAGCTCTGCTGCCTGCTCATTTTTCAGCAGGGTAGAACTATTATAACCTCTGCTTTCAAAACCTGGAAAATGGGCTGAGAGACTCCCTGAGGAAGTGCCTAGAGGGTTTGGGGCAGGGGGGCTGCTGAGATCCCCTCAGCCTGGCGGGAGGAGAGTGGGCACCTTGAGGTTTGCTCTCGAAGGCCCTTACCAGCCCTGGGACCTGGTGCTCGCTGAACTGCCCTGCTATTATGCTTCTGCCCTCTGAACGTGCAACAGGCGTTCGCAGCCCCAGCTCTCCGTCTCCCTTCCAGCCTTTCTGGGCTCGTTCTTGCTCTTGGTGTCTGTAAGTTGCCCCCCTCTGTAACGCCCTGCTCTGGCTGTTGCTACTCTCCTCTGCTGGCGGAGTCCTCTGCACCTCCCCCTTCCTGAGCAGCGAGGGCATGGGAGAGCTGACCCACGGTGCAGCTATCATCTGAGAAAGAAACACAGGGCACTTGCATCCCCTCCCACGGAGATATGGCTGTTCCCCAGGGTAGAACATGGCATGCACTTACCAGCCCACGGTACCCAACATGATCTATCCACCCTGATGACAGAGGGAATGAAGAGAGTACCAGTTCAATCGTTGGACCTACAGTGCTGTCCTAGCGCTGAGAGCAGTGCATGTAGTCCCTGTGGCAGTGCTGAAGGGTCTTTGCCGGGTTGTGAGTGGGTAAGAGTGTATTTCCTGTGTACAATAGGCTAGTGCCGCATCCTTTCCACCAGCTGCATTGCAAGTTCTTGACTGACTTATTAGAAAACAATCCTCCTCTGTCTCCTGAAGGACCCTGCAGCATTGGGTATTCCCTGAATTTCCCTTACCGATTAAAGTGTTAAGGATCTCTTTTGTGCTGCCATCTGCCCCCAGTAACTTGTGGTTGAACTCTTGCTGTGCTGCACCTTGTGGGTAAATTGCTTGACCTTAGCTAGTGGGTTGGGATAAAACAGCCAGGACAGACACAGCTGAGAAAATAGAGATGAGCTGCCCTGGAGAAATAAATCATTCCTATCCTGTTCAAAATTAGGTATCCACATCCCCTTGGGAATCCTTTTGCCTCAGCAAAGGAGCTAACCCCGGAACAAGAGCTCCCAGGTGGTTTTAGCCCAGGGGTTACAATTTGAGGAGTCATCTGAGAGGTGGATTTGTCATTGCCTAAG